TATATATATATATATATATATATATATATATATATATATATATATATGAAAGGTGCAGCTTTTGTATGACAACCCAGTGACAAGGATGCCTGCAGCGCCAGCACACCGTTATGACGTCACGCACGCTGTTGAGTGTAGATTTATGAAAATTTCCAAATTTGCACTGTTCGTGTCGTCATTGTGTTATAGAGAGTAAATGTCATGAATAAATTTGACATCTGGGATAGAATATGAATAAATTTGACATTAAAAATAATCCAAGTTGAACCGTTACGTCATTTTCTAATTAACAAAGACCATGCAGAATAATGTAGTACAGTATTTTAATTCCACAGCAGAGAAAGCTATGTAGTATCAGTAAGGAGGTTTAGGAAACATTAATATTGGTATCGGTTATCGGTCAAATATCGGCATATCAAATATCGGCCAAAAATTCAATATTGTGCATCCCTAGCATGAATGCATACCAACTACATAAAAGACAAACAAAAAAAAGAAGAATGTAAAACGACAGTACAAAGGTTTATAAAAGAACACATAAGAATCTATATAAGATTTTTGAGACTACAGCTATTTTAAGTCAACATCAAACCATTTTGTTCTTGGTCTCACTCTGAGATGCGATTAGCTCATTATTCTACTCAAATTTAAAAAAAATCTGCACTGAGGTTGTTCAATGAGCTATCTATTAAAGATAAGATGATAATTATTTGTGCCAAGAACCACTTGTCAAAAGATCTAAACGATTCCTGAAATCGGGCTGGTTTGGGTTATTTGCTGGTCTGAATCAATAGATTCTGTTACATCACTGTGGCTTTATTACACGTCTGTTACAGCAGTGTTCATCTTCTCAGAGGGAGAGCTCTATCTCTAAAGGTTTAACTACGTTGAAGGCAAACAAAACGGACACGTTAAGATGATTGAACAATGCTGTGGAGATCATTCAATCTTGATGTTTTCATCCTGTTCCTTTTTATTATGATTATTGCTTTCACCCTCAATAAGCCGTATAAAAATATTAAATAGTTACAACTGATAATACCGCCCATCTCCCTTTGTTCTGCTGATAAAACCTGTGTTCTTTCACATGAATGTTACTTGAGATATTTTTAAAGACCAATCAGACCCACGCATATTACAACAGACACATTGTAGCAATATTTTTGCCAGAAAAACATCAATAACATGCCAAATTCCAATCCGATGAGATCTGTGAGAAGCGAACCCAATCCACAGAGACCCCCACCGTATCATTCCACAACCCCTCCAGCTGTTTTTTATCAAACCCTGGCAGGATTTTGGGGGAACACGAAGGGGAACCTATCAGCAGAGTGGTCACAAACCTACAGCTGACTGATGGAAGCTTGTTTGTGACTCCAAAACTTCTTATGTTTTGTTTGTCCACTTTTCTAATTTGGATATTTTGTAGTATTTGGTTTACTCTCATTAGCAGCAATGGGGGGCCTCATTGGATTAGGGGGCTTTACTGACCTGTTGGTTTTTGACAGACCCTTCTGTGATGTGAAAAATGTCTTGGAATACCACAGCCCAGTGTTGTTCTTTCTTCATATTTTCCTCCTCGTGTTTATGCAGCTGGAGTGAATCAACGTGTTGCAACATAAAGCAAAAAATACTTATTTTTAATTGATCTTGCCATGAAATGACAGTTTTGGTTTTTTATTGTTATAGAAACTGACAAATCTTCACAGTTATAGCCCAAAGTGTAAGGAATGTCTGGGAGACATTTGAGCCTTTTCAATAAGAAACGAAAAAGAGAAGAGGACTTTTAAAACTATAGGAAACACTGGATTTACTGTGAATTTTGATGAAACGATAGGTCATGCTGAATCACACTCCTCGTGCGTTTAACGTGAACGCAAACGCAAAGATGTAATAATGAATATTAATAAAGAAGGAAGCCTTTTACGGATGCTCGCCCTGCATTATACTTCTCATGGACGTGTGCCTGCATGAAACAAAGCTTATATGTATACATTCATCCTGTGATCATTTAGTTTATGTTTGTTGACTCTGTGCTTTTTTTTTATAGTATAATGGCAAGTTTGTGTTTCAGAGCAAAGCACTTTATTATTTCCAGTCCAAACAAAACTGATGGCAGCTTCACGCTTGAATATAATTAGTATGTACTAGTCCCTCAGTATGTAGAAATGTAACTAATCCTTTTTTTTTTACTTTTCTAAAACTAATATAGAGGTCTAAACTATTTTATAACAAAACATAAGAAACAACAAAATGTTTTAATTAGATCAGATTAGTTAGAAAATGTTTGGTATATGTAATAAAATAACTTGTAAATGAACAAATGTGATAATGTTGTTAAACTCGAAAACGTTGAGGTGAACAAAATTAAAGAAGGCAGTTTAAAGACATCTTGTTAAATGTTGAATGGGGAGTGGTTTTGTTTTCTTCTTTATTTTATCCTAATGTAAAAGGGTAAATACTGTATGTTGACATAGTTTTCTGAAGATAATGTAACATGTACCTTGATGACCACTGCATTGTAACTCTGTCCGTGTATTTGACTTGTTGAGCATTTGTTGTGGAAATTGAACAAACAAATACAGTTTTATTGCCGCAATGGAAAATAATTTATTTAACAGAGTGTTAAATAATTTTTGATAACCAGCACTCACATACCCCATCTTAAGAAACATTCTTGTTGGATAACATAGCTGTTAAAAGTTTAAAACTTGTAAAGTCATGTACTTTGTAGAAATTGAAACACATTTTAAATGAAGCCAAAAATGGAGGTTGTAAGAAATCACATGAACTGAAGAGATGAATAACTATCTGATATAAACTTATAATTGTTGTGAAA